CCCCCCTTTTAAAGGCAGGGATGGGTTTCTTTATTTTAAACTGCACAAACATACAAGGATGTTTTTTAAATGGAACCTTCTCTCATGTGATACTAAACTAGAGCACTTCAGTTTACAAAACAGCAAATTCATGTTGGTGGAAGCTAGCACAAGGGACTTAAGATGAGAAAAGTGAAGATCTACACTTGAATGCTGTTGCAAAATTAAAGGTCATGGCTACCTTACACAGAAGTAATCATGCTGCCATAGACGTCTGTGTACTTCAAACTTAGCGGCTTAAACAGATGAGTTTTAGGCTATATTGTGTTTGGATAGGATTTGTCCACAACTTTGAAGAGTAATGCAATCGTGTACCTTAACTTTCCTAAGGCAGCTGATGTATAATACTACAGTCTGCACAGCTTAGGATTTACCACTAAACAGTCTACATTTGGAAGACATCTTAAGTTGTTTGGAGCACTGCAGTTCTAAGTGTTACAGTTTTGAGGGACTATCTAGTTTATATAGTAATAGTAGAACCTTGAAGTACATGCTTGAAAGTTTTATTTAGCGTGGATTTCATTTATTTGTTTTGGCAAGTCATTGGCTTCAAAATGGCACTTCACTTCCTTGGTCAAAATTTATGGGATGAGTAAAAATGCATCCCATAAAAGCAAGTATTTAACTTCATTACATTTTTTTATTTTGAACCTTGAGTGCAATTTAGCCATCCAGGATGTTTGTGTTGCAAACATTTGTTTCAATTGCTACAGGAACCAAGCATAGTATTGGCTTGTGACACATCATAGCATGCAACTTGCAGGGTGTTCTAATGAAAGCTTGAACCTCACTTCAGTAGGATTATCCCTGTCCCTCCATACTTTTTCTTTGCACTGTTTGTAATACAAATTTAATTGCCACTAATTTGTTTTCATTATTCAAGCGATTAAGTTTGCATTGTTGATATTTTTAATAGTTGCTTCAAGGTTGTGCTGAGTAATTAGAAACTAGTGACTTTAATATTTGAAAGGGAAGAGGGTATTTATTATGCGTACTGTGAACTGCATTGACATCCCGAGTTTCAGATGCAGCATATGGAGTTTTCTTTACAGCATTGTAATGAAGATTGCTTTGAAGTGTTTATGCAATAGCACATTTATCATATTAAAAACAAATTAGTTTAGCACAGTGGACAAAAGTAGATACGATTTTGTAATCAGTTCTTAACTTAAACACCTGAAATATTTAACTTTAGTAAGTACACAGTAAATAACGGGTAGCCTTGGCCCTGTGTTGTACTCTTGACATTCTTAGCCAAGTTCTCAGCTTCTTACTGCTGTGTTTGTGCTGAACTTTGTACCTTGTTTCTTTTGTTTATGAATCAACCCATTTTAAGGAATTTTGTAGAATTCTGGCCATAATCTTCCATTGTTATACATTCAAGTTTATCTATGGGTTTACAGTGAGTGGCTGGTCTGTATAAAAATCATACAAAGATGACTGAATGCTTATACCAGTTGCACTTAAATGAACATGCCCATTTTCATTAGTTGATGCAGTAATATACTCAGTTTATCTATGCATTGCTGGGCTCTTAATGTAGGCAGAGACTTGTCTAAGGTTTGGGTTGTCAGCAAGTTGAATGGACACTTTAGTTATTTAATAAAGACTTTGACCAAAATTCAGAAAATGATATGAGAGAAAAATGATTTCCGGGTAGTCTAATATAAATGCTGATCTTATTTAGCCTGTTGGCTAGCTAGCTGGTATCGTTTACTTTTAATTCCTTGTTAAAATGAGGCAATAATTTGCAAGATTTCGTAAATATGTAAATTCTTCATATCTTTTTAGATATCTCTTTCAATATTTTCTGACTACTTCTGTGTATAGTAACATTTTTGTGCATGCTTGATGTGACATTCATAAATTTGTACCACTATGACTTTATCCATGTAAAATAGCTATTTATTGAACTTTACTTTCAAAAGCTGGACTTACGTTTTTTGCTCTCAGTTTAAACATTCAGATGGAGAACTTGTTACTGTTTATTAAAAGAATTGTGTTTTTAAAGTCAGCATGGAGATAACTGAATTGCAACCATATGAAGAAATTACAATGCCTTGGCTACTACACAAATACTGTGTAAAAATGACACAAATTGTGAAGCACAATTCTTGTAACAAACTGTGATGAATTCTTTGTCCTTTGCCATGTGTTTTCTTCATACAAACAAACCAAAAAATCCATAATGGGCAATTGCAGTGTTGGTAAATGTATCCTTTTTATGTACAGGGAATCTGAAGAGGGTAGCAGATTCATGTAGAAGTGTAACTGGTGCTGTGATTATAGCAATACCACAGTTGGTCACACATTATCTTCCCATGCTAGGTTCTTAAGTGTTTAGTCTTCCTCTTGTAATGGTCAAACTGCTGAACTTACTTGAAGGATGTACAGTACTGTTTGAAGAATATGAAATTGTGTACAATTAGGTCAGTGAATTGTGCAATTGAAACTGAGAGTCAAAAATATAGGAAAACTTCAGTTCAGGTAGGACACAGTGATACTACTTAATTTAACCAAAGTCTCTAATGAGTATTTCAACTTTGAATGTAAACTAATGGATAAACTGACCAACAGGGACGCTATTTGCCCAGCATTACAAGCACATTGTCTACAGACAGGGAAATAAAATACAGTAATTTGTAAGATAATGACAAGGTTACTATTTTTATTATTCATATTTTTCATTGAAAGAAGGAGGAAGATGCTATCAATTGTACAATAAAGTAGGAATGGTTATAGTCTTCCTAATAAAATAGAGATTCCAATTATTCTCAGTTCAAAGTAACTACCCTGTGCATAACAACAAATCAAGTGACAATCGGAACATGTTTTAGCATCAGATGTTCAAGAGGAAGTCGCTGTTGTTGCATTGGTTTTAATATTTGTACATAAACACTGATTTTTTTGAGCATTATTTTGTATTTGTTGTACTTTAATACCTGGTGTACAGTTCCAGAAATAAATGTCTGGAAACCTTTCTTTATTTGTAAAGCTCTTCATGCATCTGCACTGTGTTTGCTACTTCATTTCCAGAGATATTTAGCAGTAACTCTGAATGCACTTTTAAGAACCCTGGGTACAGTCAGCGCACATGCTGCCATCTACGTGGTGGGGCACAGAGGAGTGAAAAATGCAGCACGCAGTGATGCAGGTAGCTAATGAGTAATGGTTTTTGAAATGAGTTTTGAAACATTATGGCTAAAGTATAGCAAATCTCCAGACTTAAATGTAGCTTCAAAGCTCACCCAGAGTTCAGACTACAAGCTGTGGAGAACACATACCTGTTCTCTGGGGAAAAAACTCACCCAAATTTGTAAATCTCTATCAAGCTAGATTACAGCTGTGAATACAAAAATTTTACTTGGCTTAAGCCATAATGTTGAACTTAAAACAATTTGAAATACTTTTTGCCTTGATTCTCCAGTTCCGCAAGACAACAGGCATTAAGCTTGGACGCTGGAAAAGCTGTAAGATCTTATGTACCAATTCTACCACATGGCAAATGGAGTTAGTAGATTTCTTTCCTAGACCCAGCATGTTTGTTTATACAGTGGCTGGCACAGTAAATCTTTAAGTAAAGAAATTTTTTTTTTTTTTTTTTAATTAGGAGTACAAACTAATATAATTCTAAAGAGCTGAAGTAATTTTTCAAGTAATGAGCTTTGCTTCCCCTGATGGAGAGATGCAAGGATGTCTTTCTAATGATGGGCAGCACAGTCTGCAAAACAAAGTACCTATCCAAAACACTTCAGTTACAAGCTGCAGCTCTCTTTTTTATAGTTGTTTAGCATAAGGATCAATGCTAGAATAAATGATGACTGACCCCCATCTCGTTTTTGTTGTGATGCAACTGTTAGCCTTGCAGTATGGAGTCTTAAAAATGGCTGTAGTTCAGTGTATGTATATTTAATCTAAACTCTTCTCAAATCAGTTACTTAACTTACACTTCCATTTAGGTAGGAAACATTAGTTTCTGCCACTAAAAAGATAAGATGAAGTCCTTCCAGTGCTTAGGCAACCAAGGGCCAAGTCACAGAATAGTAGAATATGCTGAGTTGGAAGGACCCATCAGGTTCATCCAAGTCCAGCTGTGGCCCTGCTCACAGTACCCCAGGAGTCACACCATGTGCTGAGAGCATTGTCTGAACACTTACTGAACTCTGTCAGGCTCAGTGCTGTGGCCACTGCCCTGGGGAGCCTGTACCAGTGCCCAGCCATGCTCTGGATAAAGAACATTTTCCTAATACCCAACCTCAGTCTCCCTGGACACAACTCCAGGCCATTCCCTTGGGTCCTGTCACTGGTCACGAGAGTGAAGAGATCAGTACCTGCCCTGTTGTTGCCTCTCCCAGGGATGCTGTAGACCAGAGTGAGGTCTTCCCTCAGTCTCCTCCTGGCTGAACAGACCAAGTGACCTCAGCTGCTCCTCATTGGGCTTCTTCAGACCCTTCAACATCCTCACGGCCCTCCTCTGGCTGCTCTAATAGATGCATGTCATACGGTGGCACCCAGAACTGCCCCCAGCACTCAAGGTGAGGCTGCCGCAGAGCAAAGCAGAGCTGGACAATCCCCTCCCTTGCCCAGCTGGTGATGCTGTCCCTGATGCCCCCAGGACACACTTGGCCCTCCTGGCTGCCAGGGCACTGCTGGCTCATGTTCAACTTGAACCCCAGAACCCCAGGGCCCTTTCCATGGCACTGCTCTCCAGCCTCTCATTCCCCAGTCTGTGT